TATGTTCGAACGTCAGTTTATATTTATATCAGTTGGAGTCGGGAGCTGGGGGAAATTTGATTTTTGTACCTTAAAAAGAGGGATATAAGCTAAGGTTTAGCTATATCGAATTGATTTGGCAATACGCTTTTCTCATAGCCTGAAATGTCAGTCATCTCCCGCCCTCGGCCTAATCCCCGGGAAAGAGACCGCCCGCGCGCGGGGATTAGGCTGAGGGCGGGAGATGATTGATATTTTAGGCTAACCTTCTTGTCTCCCAAACGTAAGTTTCGTTTTGTCTCGATTACAACAGAACAAAGAACGATTCTTTGTTACCCCTACTTTAATTTCAGTCACGAACGAGTCATATCAACTTGGCAAGTTGCTTTTAACGAGTACAATCTCTGAACATTTTACCAAGTTTCCTCGCGTATCAAGATAACTCAAGTTTACGTGCATGCTTGACACTTAAGGACAATCGTTTTCCTTCCTGTTTTTCTCAAGGTCCATGCCGGAAAGGAAATGATGTTTAGCCTGCATGCAGAGGTCTGCTATTGAGACCTCTGCATGCATGCTATACGACGTATTGACCGTCACACCTTCGTCACAACACGAAAATGAGAATGGCATATCAAAGGAAGTTAGGCTGTCCCGATTTTTGGCAGGTGTATTTACCTTGCGTCCCATCACAAATGTAAATATTTTAAGTGGTAGTTCAATGAATTTTTGCGAGGATTTCAATCGTCATTCAACACGAGATTTCTTTCTAGATTTTTACCGGTCTGTTGTATTTTTGTCAGTTTTTGTTCTCTGATTTCATGCCAAGAGATGAAGAAGCTGATGTCACTCAAGGGTGCAGACAAGACATAAATCAGTACCACAATAGACAAATTCGGCTAACACACATGTGACATTGAATTGGGTGTTTACATTGCGTAAAAACGAGGCTCTCTTAACATTTTCTTTATTATTGCAGCCGCTTGTATTTGTTGTGTTAATCATGTGCTTTGCTGTAGTTGTTTATTCAATAAAGAAAAGAAATGGTCAAAATCCTCGAGAAATTTTCCAAAATTTGGCTCAACGAACATGGTCTTCGCGGCTCGAGCAAGGCGGAAAAAAGAATGCTGGAGAGAAAAGCTGTAAGTTCTTTCGGGAAGGGTATGTTTACGATGTTTACATGTGTCAGCAGTTGGAAGATTTCCATGTCAGAGCACGTTGCTAAAGATCTCTAAGAAAAATTGAAGAGCCTCATTTTAGCCATAATCTTCAGGGAGAGCGATGGCAGGACAAAGGTTTTTTTTATTAAAGTACGCTCTTCATGTAAGGGAGGAGGCGGTGGACATTGCAATCATGTATTTGCATTATTGTTCCAGTTGAATGATTATTTATGTTTTATCAAATAATATCAAAGACATCCCGAGTGATGCAATCTTTACAAGACTACCGCAGTTCATGTTGCAGTATCCCAGTAAATCTGCATTTTTCTATATAGATTAGGCAACAGAAATTGTAAAATATTCATGAATTCATGATGACTGTTAAATCCAGTGAAAAGTGTAATAAATTTGCCCTCTTTCTTTGGGCTGTGCATTCGGAAAGAATCATCCTATCATCTACAAACAACATTTTTTGTTTATTCAAGCTTACGAGCGAACTTTACTTAACCTTGTAAAGGCAAAAAGATCCTAAAAAGAAGCGATATTTCATATCTCGCAAGCCGATGGAGAAATAACTCTTACATCACCTCTTATACCAACTTTAAAATCAGACCATTTCTTGACGTTACCCTCCGCCCCGTGACATGACTTGGACAGTTTCGATATTTCAGTTGCATTTAGGACCCTGTTCCACATGTTCAGATCAGTGAGCTCTCCAAGGAAGCCTTGGGTTGCGTCAAAGTCTCCTCCATGGGAATCTTGGTCCTGTCCGATGGTGAGGATTCCGTTTGTCTTGATTACGTGTCCAGTCTGCAATCCACTCCCACTGGCTTCGGAGACGCCGTCTTTGTAAATCTTCCAAGATCCAGCTTTGTTTTCCCACGAAACGCACATCAGATGCCAGAAGCCATCATTCAGGGTGGTGACTCCAGTTTCTCTGAAAAAAAAAATAAAAAAAATGATCAGAACATATACTAAGATCACGTTTATAAAGGAAATTCATGGGTAAAAAAGATGAGACACAGCCAGGAAAAAAATAGACGGGCGACAAGTTTACTAAACAATATATATATCTTATCTCTGGCATCATCCTCTGGTACAGCTGTATTTATACGATAAAGTCCCATTACTATATCCTTACCATGTATTGATTAACTATTAATTATCTATTATTAATTAATTGATAATTTATAATAACTTACAACAGCTCGTCATTGATCCATAATTCAAGTGAATCCGCATCTTTGATCAGGATTTCATTGAAGACGTGGTTTGCGCTGTAACTCAGGACCGCACCATCATAAACTGTCTTCTCTGCTGTTCGCATTCGGTAGCACACAGTAAAAGCATCGGTTATTTGGAGGCCATGGTGGATAACATAGTCACTTGTACCACTTTTCGTGAAATAAAGGTCGTATGCACTTTGAGTACTTTGGGGCAAACCTGTTGAAGCTAAAACGTACGAAATCGATCAGCCGATAATCTGACACCCCTACTACATGCGCTTAAATATCGCTCTTTTGAATAACCTGAAAAAATAAGATTCCATATATTAACCTCACAGAGTTGGAGGATGATAATTTGCGTGTTAAAGGATCCGGGTTTGACTCCAGCAACTTTGTCTTTGCCACCATAGAACTTCAATAGCTGTAGATTAGACTAGATCTCATTTCGCCGCTTAAGGGCTTATGGACTTTAAGCCGAATCTCACTTGTTAAAGAACACAAAACAATATCCTCGGTTAGGACTGAGCTCTGACAGTGCTGAATCCAGCGTGCAATGTGCATCACGTCATTTTTGGCGGTGATATTATTCAACTTATCTGATCGTCGCCTCATCTAGTTAGTTACCTTGTTGAACCTGATCCTTTACCGCGGCGAGTTCTTTCTTCAAATCGTCCACCTCCTGTAACAGCTGGTTGTTTCCTTCGCGTAAGTCGCACTGACCTTTGCCGTCCACAGAAACATTTATAACTGGACTGCAGTGGCAGGCGGACGGAGACTTGCGGGATACATCTTCAGCTTGAGATAGAACAAGCAGAGTAAAAACCAGAAAGGAGACTTTTGACATCATCTTGGACTCAAGTGTGGCTTTGCATGGACCCCGTGCTTCAAGCGGGACTTATATACTCTAATCTATGGTTGACACGCCTTCATCAATTGTGTGGGGAACCAATCAAATTATCACATAATATTCCTTTTTGCCTAACTCCATACGTCACTTTCTGACGTTCTTTATTCAATTCCTTCCTGTTTAGGCACGCAACTACAGAAAAGTTCCTCAATAACCAGAAAGTTGGACAGTGCCGGAAATTCCTCAAGGTTATGTTTTAGTGACTAAATAAAGGTTTACATCACAAATTCAAAAAACAAGGATATGTTGCAGACTGAAATGTACTAACGTGTGTGTACTAAGGTGTATTTCAGTTCCAATCCTCTACTTAATAAGTCAGACATGTTTTCATCGGTGAGTCTTTCCCTTGCAAACTCTCGTCGTTTATCGTTTTTTCCTCAGTCTTCCT